CACACGATTTACATGGTATCCTCGTTCGTAAGAACGAGACTAATCCACAGAAGACTTACAAAGGAGTCTTCGGCTGATACTTTATTAGGGTTTTTACTTCACTGCACCTTTCATCATGCAACTCGACTGCTAATATATATATATTACTAACAATTCATTTTCCAGTCACAGCTAGGAATTGCAAATTACTAAAACACCACAAAATAAAAGTAATGAGTCAAAGGAGGACAACAAGCCGCAGCAATGCCAGACCTTGTATGTATGCCCCTTGTCCCGTACGTACACTCACAACAGTTTTTTTCCTTAAAACATAAATTTCAACATGCATAAATAATTTTGACAACATAATCTCAATAAATAACAAAGACACAAAGTCAAAGCATTCGGACTTGCACCATAACATTATAAACATTAACATAATGTCATATGGAGAGACAATGGTCTTTTCTCTCTAGTGAGATGTGTTTGTGAATGAAGGAGGGGACGGGATTCTCAAAATTAAGATTGAGACTTGGTATCGTTGTGGGAGTTGGGAAAGTGGTCAAGTGAGCCGCTAACATGCATTGAGAAGTCGACTGAGTCCACGGTTTGGTTGGGTAAACCGTGGTCTAAATCAGACCAGACCAAGAAATCAAAACATCATATAATGCAGACCATGGACCAGACTAGACCATAGTTAACGATCTACGGGCCAGTTTGGACCATGCTTATTCAAACGGTTTATTCCATTTTCCAGCCTTACAATATAGCAATCCACCAACAAAACTTAGCCGCTTTCTAAGCCTAGTGGTCTATTTCAAGCCCATAAAAAAAAATACACAAGCAATATGCACACAGTTTAATCTTCATGTTGTCATCCCATTAGACTTCAGAAATGAACTTGGGATCCTGATGCCATAACGGCACGGGGCAATGGACTTCTGTTCTTGAGATGGGTTTGGAAAATGACACTTTAGAGGGAAGCTTGGCTTCTTTGTAATATCGATCCCCTCCACAGAAGCTGCTTTCCAAATTTTTTAGGACCATAATCTCTGTTATTCATGATAAGAATAGATTGCTCTTGTACTACTAAGGCTAACGATGCAGACAACCTCCAGAATCTTAGTAGTTCCTTCGTTGAAAAACCACCCAAGATGAGAAAGCATAATCAAGAGACACATCCCTTCAGAGCTGTTGCCTGGAGGAGGTGACATCTCCATAAATATATCTACTTCTGGTTCTCTCCGTAACGCTAACGAATCAATATTAAACTGAAATGAAAATAAGAACTACATAATGCAAAAGTCAGTCGCTTCGATTTAGTCCATTTTTCTTTTTGGATAAATACAATATAATAGTCAAACCTTTTCAAAAACAATTTAATATCCAAACTGTTAACTTTCCGTCTGGTCAACTGTTAATTGACTCTAACGTGGAAAAATATTAAATGAAATGAATGACTTTTTATGATGTGGCATGAAGTCAAATATTTGACCTTGCCGCATAGTTATTCCACCATTTTACAAAACAATTTTTATTTTTGAAAATATAATTAAATTAAGAAAACAGTATTGATCCAATATATTTATTTGTTGGGACTAGGGCTGGGAAACGGTCCGGTGCGGACCAAACCATAGACGCGGTATGTGGTCCAGACCGAGAGGATGGAACACAAACCATGAACTAGACCATATACTATACAGTTCAGACCAGACCACGCATGTGCGGTGCGGTCCAATACGATCTGGACCAGCAGACCATGTTAAAAAAATTCAATCTTATTCCGCACTCCAACCCTCCTCGGTAGCTATAAAAATAAAACTTTAGTGACCAATATGCTAGTGAAACAAAAATATAGTGATCATAATTATAATGGAAAGAAATATATGAGAGGAGAAATGTATTGAATATATGAGACTAGGATGGCCGCTCATCGCAAAATAATTTTTCTTATCTAATCAAGGTGAATAAATTTTTTCTAGTGTTTCTGTTTTATTGACTTCATAGTCTAGACATTGTCAGTGAATATTATTTATGAATCCTTCTTGTTTTTGTGTGGTTCTTTGATAAGAAGATAGTGCATAAGCAATCATTTGGGCAATCTGTTAGCTCTCAACTCAATGAATAATTAACTAACTTCGCTCTTCAAATACATAAATGTATGTTTAATTTAGTATTATTTTGGTATGAGTTAGTGAATAGTATGTCACGGTCTATCACGATTTACTGTGGTAGACCGCTGTCCATACCACTTTAGACCACACACTAAAGGAGGAGACCATAAACCATACCAGACCATAACTCTGGTCTCATGGTCTAGACCAAACCATATGCACGGTCTAGACCGTGGTTTTCGGTACGGTTTGGACTAGATTCTCAGCCCTAGTTGGGACTGTTCATCTTCTTCCATCATCCCCCACCCAATCCTCATCCACGAAAGAACCACTTCCCATCTTCCCATCACCAATCTATTCAAGATCGGACCCTGATGCAGGGCGTCGACTTGGGTGAAAAACTCCACTCAAGATAACCATACAATACCCCGCACCCAATCGCTCCGCAGCCTCCATTCCCCTACACTCACCCATCGCTCCATCTCATCTCTTCAATTGCTCTAGTCGATCGGTCAGACAACTCTGGGAATGTGGGTTTTTCATTGTTGGACGATTGGCGATTTTTGGGCTTTTCCGGGGAATTTGGGTTTTTCCAGGGCTAGGCGATCGGCGATTTCTAGGTTGGGCACACGATTAGGAGTATGGCGAGACTTGACGACGAGGTGTGGACGACTACGGCGAGATGGTTCCTCTTTTTCCTCGATGATTTGGAATTCGGATGTCCGATCTTGCGATTGCGATTGTTGGTGCTGGGAATATGGGAGTTTATGATTTTTCAATTTTGTGCGAAGGAGCATGGATTGTGATGGAGGATCGATAGCTTAGAACTCGGGCTTGGGGATGGAGGATGGCGAGTGAGGAGATGAAGTCTTCAACGAAAAAGAGTGTAATGGCGGAGAAGAAGAGCTAGTATTCTTTGATTTTCAATTATCTTCTTCCCAGAAAAACGAATTATTATGTAAAATTATTAATACTAGCTTTGACCCGGCCCGTTGGCCGAATTACTTTAATTTACTAATCATGGAATGGGGGAGAGAGCTAGAGCAGAAAATCGAACCCACAATTTGGATCTATTTGAGTCCATATAATTATACCTATAAAGAAATATCGACCATCTAGCTATTCATATTAAACCAATTCACACCTTCATTATCGGTGTTTCCACATTTATGTTTGTTCTACAAAAAAATTGCAAAAATTACATTAAAGTTGATATTCTTTTTTTTTTTTTGTAGCCAATGTAATAGGTCTAATTTAAACTCATACTAAATAGTCGTTTATTGGTATGACCTTCAAGTGATATTACCAAATATGATTTGACTAGTAATAAATTGGGTTTGTGAAGGATTTTTTTTTTTTTTTTTTTTTTGCAATTCATAGTGGAGGGAATTTTTTAGGCCACGTTTGGCATTAGTTGTTCATTCACCACCACATCCAACCTAAGGTATCACTTTCCCATAAGACTTTTTAATTTACTGCGAAATGAGATTATCTAAATTCCTTCCGTTTTGGGTTTCAAAATAGTAAATTTGCAATCACTTATCTACATAGTTTCCATCTCCTACTATTAAATGTGTGAGATTTAAAGTTTCTTTATCTAAATTTCATAGCAAAATATGAACCTGTAAACATTGGCAGAGGTGAGTGAACAACTAAAGATCACAATGATTGTAGCTTTAGTGGTATGGAGGTATATTTGAGCTCATAAATCAATTAACTGCATCTCATCTTTCTTTGAAAACTAACCTAAATTTAGGGAGTCATTCATTGTTATATAAAAGTATTTGAGTAAAATATGTTTGGAAACTGAAATTGCATGCATTAGTGAATAATAGAGTTCTTAATTGATATATATATATATATATATATATATATGGTGACTTCCATAGTGCCTAGGGCAAAATCCGGGTACGGGTACCTTGGCCGATCTTAACCATTCATTTTCAATCTCCATGGCTCACGTTTGTTAAACCTAACTGCGCCACTAAATAACTAAACAAATTACAAAAAGCCTCATTACGCGTTAAGATTGTTTTCATCCTAGTCCAACTAACTGCAATGATTAAATTAAATGGATTAAGACTGCAAACCCAATTGGGTAGACCCACTGCCGACCTAACCAATTTCCAGTCTCCCTAACCAATTACACGATCCCTCTCTCGTCTTGGAGGGACGCCCCTTCACAGTTCCAAGGGAAGCTCCCCATCCAATTTGAACTCCCCAACTTAATCATCTTTTTGAATCCCAATTACTTGCATCCACATTCGACGTAGTTTGAATTTTCCAATTTATTTTGTCTTGTTTGTTCTTCTCCATTTTATTTCCCCTCGCCTATCTCTTTCTAACACGATTACGGTGACCATGTCTATTATTGTGTTCATCAAACTTTTCATTTTGCTAACCTTAGGGTTCATGTCGCTAATGCTTTGTCATCTTGTCTTACCATTATTGTCATTTTCTCGAAACTTCTATCACTTGGTGAAATTAAGGTTTCCTAATATGTAGTGTTCGTCTCACCCAGAGGATTGAGGAAGGAGATGAAGAAGACAGAATTTGATTCGAATCGGATGGAGAGGTCTCCTTAATTTGTGTTTATGTATTAACGGTGTGTTTAGTACTAATTCTAGTTGGAATGGGTCTGATCATTGATTTTTGCAGGCTTTTAAATAACATTCAAAAGTGGGCTTTACATGATCCATGCAATATTCAAAATCGGCCTGGAACGTGCGAGCCCATTTGATTTCTCCTGTCATATCAATTCGTGCGCCAACCCTAGTTTAACTAGCTTTACTTACCCTAGTTTAACCTACACGAGTTACAATCATCATTACATATCTTCCGAAATCTTCTAACTCTTGACATTCCATACTCAACCGTCTCCATCGCACTCACGTCTCCAGACTCAAACCCCACAATCACTTTTTCTTACACCTACATTCTCTCTCTCCTCCATCTTCACCTTTCCCTTGTTCCTTCTTCCTCCCGACTCTTTTTTTTAATAACTTCCTCCCGACTCCATGGCAAACAAAAGTAGATCGTTTGCAGAAATGGGGATACTATCTCTATCAAATGATGACTGTCGATCCACCGCCAGTCTCGGTGACTATCTTTCATTTACAAGCAAAACAACAATTGTGGCAGAGTACGAGTTCATCCACCTAAGTCATTTCCCTGCCGCAGTGAAGACGTTAATAAAAAATATTGGCTGGGAAAAGTTCTTTGATCTCCGGAGTCGAGAAAGAACCATTTACTGCCCCCATGTGGTGAGGAAGTTCTACCACAATCTACAGCTTTCTAGTGCCTGTGATTCTCATCTCGTGTCGATCTTCCTGGGACATAGAGTCTGCTTCCAGCCTCATCATTTTGCTGATATCCTTGATCTTCCCGCCGGAGGACACCCCATTGAGAGCAGAAGCGATCTTGGGCGGCTGTACGATTTTGAGTTTGAAGTTGAACTGGCGAAACTCACGAAGGGGCACATCCAGCCTTCTTTCCTCCCAGATCCTCTTTGATTCCTCCACTGGTTGATCGTCAACTGCTTCCTGCCAAGGTACCGTGGTCATTCGATTATTCGTAAACTTGACTTGTTTATCCTTGTGCAAGCTCAAAGAGGTGTTCCTGTTAACCTCGCATCTCTCATGTGCCTGAACATGGTTGAGGCTGCTCCTAGAGGGGAAAACTAGTATACTACCTTTCCCTATGCCACCTTCGTGACCACCTTTCTTGAAAGGGTTGGGATGGATATGTGGGTTTATGTTAAGGAGGACCAATGCGCTTATTTGTCAGTGTACCGTATAGCCGAATTGACCAATACTTTTATTGATTTTCGGCATACGGAGCATCAAGAGACCCCTGAGGCCTCCTCAAGCAAATTTTCTCGACTTACATGAGAGTCGATTGATGCAGGGCGGGGTGGAGCGTTGGAGCAGCAAAGGGGCCAGCGATGGATGTCTTCTGTTAACAAGTTTTAAGTCTTTGTTAGATTTTTTTTCCAGTCTTTTGTCTTTTCCTTAATTCTCCAGCACTCAAAACTGTCAGGTACTGAGGGGAGCCAGTACATCATCTGACTAGGAAAGTCTCCTATTTTTGAATTGTCCAGACCTGGATTTTTCTATGCATGCAGTATTTTTTGAATTTTCCATGGCTAAGTTACCTAAGACAGGTGACGAGATGCAGTAATGGTCATCTCCAATGGTGCAATTTTTGTGACTTGCAAGATAATGTGGCAAGGAGGTGCAATTGCATCTTTAAATTGCTATGATATGAGAAGCTATTGCAAGGGTGCAAATTTGCACAAGAGCATCTCCAATGGTGCAATTATAGTGACTTGCAAGCTGATGTGGCAATAAGTTACAATTGAAACTTTGAATTGCATTGATGTGGGGTGCCATTGCAAGTGTGCAAATTTGGTTGGTGTGCAAATTTGCTTGCAATTGAAATGGGCCCACGAGTGGGGACTATTGATAAAATTGCAATTGACTTTCATTGTTGGAGAGAGGATGGAGTTGAGAAGTGGTGTTTTCCCAAAATTATAGAAGTGGAAGTAGGGAGTACCTATGACATTGCAAATGAATTTCATTGGGGGAGATTTTAATCCGCTTTTGTTCTAAGCAGTTCCAATTAGGTCGCAGAATGTGTTACTTATTTCATCTTCAATTTTTAATGGTTTTCGAAATTTATGGTTTTATGTTTATTTGGTCAAAAGTATAGTGACGATGATAGGCGTGAATAGTATGGATATGGCATGATTATAATGATTTTTGATCTATGGTGATTTTTTTCCCTTTTTCATCAAGACACATGCTTCTTTTATTCCCCCGGTGAATCCATCAGGCTTCGTTTATAGTAAAATACCCTTTTAATTATACACAATAAAGAATCCATTAATTATGTAAGCCTTTTTATTGTATTTATTAATACAATGAATTCTCTCACTAAAAGGGGAGTGCATACATCGTTGGTGGAAATTCAAGGAATGGAAGCCCTTCCATATCCTAGGAACATTAAATTAATTACCTAAGAATTTTCTAACTGCGTTGTACGGGTTTTCGTCATTAAATATGTTGATTGGGAGCCAATCAGTTTTACTTTTTGGGTTAACTATACATGAATGCAAATTTAATTAGACGAGGGAAATTGGGAACGAAGTGGAATGATATGATCTTAATTAAACCTCTCTACAAGATACAATGGCTTGAACATAAGCAACCTCACTCACAAGTTGGAAGCTTGAATTTTGGTCAAGTCCCTTTGCCATTTCGGGCAGCTCACTTTGGAAGCCTGTTCGTCACGCATGGCTCGATGAAAATGAGATTTTATTGATTTGTATTGAACCTGGGATATTTGTGAACACTAGGGATTACTTGGGAGCTAGAGATCAAGTCCAGAAGGTCCCTTTTCAGGTTGTGCAAAAGTGTAACTGGAAAGCTAGAAATTGCCACTTGTTGGCTAAGGTAGTAGCCAGGTTAAAGATAGATACTTTGAGACTCGATTCGGAAGGGATGGTTGTCCGAAAAGTCAATATAGTTTCCACGGAAAAACAAACCAAACCAAACCAAAAAAAACAAATATAGAAAGCATTCACCAAATATAGAACCCGAGATATCGTGTTCATCATTAAAAAAACAAAACAAACCAAACCAAAAAAACAAATATAGAAAGCATTCACCAAACCAAACCAAAAATGGTTGTCCATGATCTTGAAAAAAAAAACATAACATGGTTGTCCATCATCTTGGGCTCTTTGACTGGGTTTCCTTGTGCTCTTCTCTTTCCTTTTTCCTCCTTTCATGGGCTTTCTTGTACTCTTCGACTGCAGCTTCAACTTGAGGTGCAACTGTTCTTGCTTCCGTCAGCACCATATGCCTTATGTAGTTCATGGGCTCTCCAACAAGGTACAAAGCGATCTGCATCCTCCTCACTTGAGTGCATGGCTATCAACATCAACAAACATGGTACGAATGATTCAAAAATAACAATCAAGTGTGGTTTTCTAATATGCGAACTAGAATTGTCTTTACCCAAATATAAAAGGAGTCCCAGCTTGCGCCATACATCCACATGCAGACCCAGACTCCACTGTCAGACCTACATAAAATGAAAGCATTGCGTGATACGAACCAAGTTGATAAGCCGTCGTTTAATATCACACAAAATGGGCATACTTACCGATGAAGTTGTTCTTGATCCTTTGAAGGATTTGTGTACGAAAACTCCGCAATCCTTGGTGGCGACAATCCCAGACCTTGTTCACGATATAGAATCTTCCACAAGGCTTGCATAAATCTCATATGTACACATTAAGAAACGTTTGTATTTAGAAAGAGGTATTTACATTTTTTTGCGTTATAACGGCACAATGTCACAAATTTACCATTGTTTGGACAGATTGTAGTCGAAAGGAATTGCGGTCTTCATTTGGTTGTGGATCCAAGATCTGGACTTCTTCCTTGTCCAACTTAATGACATCCAAGTACCAATGGCCATTATCTCTCATCGGAACACACACCTACATATGCGGAAATTGTTGACACGTATTAAAAAAATGCAAACCATGTAATACTTATTAAGACGAACAGTTTACCTTGTTCGCCATATTGGTTCGACTAAGGAATTTTTATTCGTATAGGTCTAATGCACTCTTGGGTGTTATTCCACATGAAATCACTAGTTCCTGTCCATGTGGTAGTTGCACAATTGAAATTTTGTCAACACAATATCATTCACGTTAAAAAAAACATGTGTTGTATTTTTGTGGTGAGAGGAAATTAATCTTAAGCATAATCGGACCACAACCTGTAGTTCAGCAGGCAGATAGCACACTCCTTTTTCGTCCTTAGAATTTGTCCACAACTCTTCTAGAGTCAAGTGGCAGGCCACCGCTGTTATAACCTAAAATAACATGGACAAAAAACACTTCATGATACTATAGATTTGTTACAAAATAATTCTACGTAGAAAGCATTGATAGTGGACAAACAAAACAAAATTTTGGAGTTTCGTTAATTACTTCAGCATCTACGAATGAGCGAGGACTTAAGGACCACAATGACTTCCTGGTACAAAAGTTGTTTGAGGTTTTGACCAATACTTCGTCAGGTGGCAGATTGGCTAAAAATATATAGTGAGCAAGTTGGATTTTCTCATCATCGTATTCCATAGCATTAGGTATCTTAAACTTCAAAACAACCTGGAATAGGGACCACAAATAAACACAAGTCGAAATGCATTCTTTATGTCTAACGGAATTACGGCAAAGAACACTTCAATGGTAAATAGGACACCTTTATTACCTTGTCAACAGAACTTAGAGAAATACTTTTTCCAGTTGGCTTCTTTGGTGTTACCTCAGAGTCAGATTCGTCGTCTGAAATAAAAACGATGACTGAAGCAGGGGTGGATGCAGTGCTTACACCTTTGGGTAGCATTGTTTTCTTTGTTAGAGTCAAAAATTCAGCAGTCTCCTACAATGACAGTGAACCTACGATTAATAAATTAACTAGAATGAATTTCAATGGTTAAAGAGCTATTAAACACACCACAAGCTTGGACGAAGAGCGAGTAATCCTCCTATGTTCCATGTTGTCCCTCTAAGCTTTAGTCTGTACTCAAAATTGCGGCAAAGAAGGATATGGAACCACTGCTCTACAGCTGAAGATTAATTATATATACAAGGTTACAGGGATAAAATGTGGCAGCAAATTTTTCCCACGGAAAAATAGTTAGGGTTTTGTCTAAGGTACATGAACTTGGGATAAACATGGGTAGTTATTAAACCTAAAAATAAAGATATATTTTGTTTTTTGATTGAATAAAAAATTGAGTGCTATTAGTAAATATTCGTTCATATTAATAGACCGAAGGCGAATGAAATTTATTTGGATCCATTACAGGTCAAAGCTAAAGGTTCGGGGGCTAAAAAATCTAAAAGGAAGAAAGGAGAACCACGACAGTGTAGCAATTGCGGTGAATGGCGCCACTATAGGACCCAATGCCCACATCTTGTTGGCTATGTGAAGCCAACCTCAAACGGTGATGCCCCGAATGCTGGTGTTTCGGAAGAAGGTGGCGATGGCGATGACACCGATGTTGATCCTCCCACCACTCAAGATCAGTCGGAAACAGTACCGAAGAGAAGGCAAAAGCATTGCAGTAAGTGTGGTTCTACCAATCATAATGCAAGAACGTGTACTGGGTTTGGGTCATCCGATGATGAAAATGACGATGATGACGATTACGAGCAACCTAGGGTAAGAATAAAATATAGTCGTTCGTGTCTACACAATGCAGTTGCATCCAATATTTTTGTACGACTAAAATCGTCGTCATCAAATTTGCATAAGAGGCCTGTTACCAGAAGTAGCAACCTAAGGACCAGAGTTTTCGACACTTGAGTTCTTCTGAATGCGTGTGTAAAAGGGCTGCAACTATTTGACCAGTGTTGAAAACTTGAAGTGAAGATGGAAGTCCTTATCCTATTCTGATTAGGATTATGTGAAGACTGTCACTGTCAGCTTGAAGCGGCGTCGTTTGGTTTATAAGAAGACTGCTACCTTTTGCGGTGTCGTTTTACTTATGTGTCTCTTTGGTTTATAAGAAGACTGCTGGTTTATGCGGTGTCGTTTTATTTATGTGTCTCTTTGGTTTATAAGAAGACTACTACCTTCGACGGTGTCGTTTTATTTAGTTCGGATGGATTTGATTTAATTCGATATGGAGGCTGCTCCCTAAATAAATCATGTGCAACATTTCAGTTGAATAATTTTTCTCACTCATTTTTTTTTTATTGAATC